CCAGAGTGCCCACTTAGTACAGTACAGTTGTGTAGTGCTAAGGGAACATTCTGCAGGTACTAAGGAGGCACTCTGGAGGAGGATATAACAGGGCATTCCGGTGGATATAAGGGGGCACTATGAAGGATCTAAGGGGGCACTCTGGTGGTACTAATTTGTTACGCCAGTGTGCCCCCTTAGATCATCCATAATGCCCCCTTTAATTTTCCAAGTGTCTCCTACAAATTCCCTATGGATGCTTTGGTGTGGGCTCTGGAACCCTTCCTAGTCTGGATTGCAGACAGAAGCATGCCACTCACTTGTAGGGTACTGGCACTGGGAATTTCGCCCAGCTTTATAGTATCTGTTTTCATTGCCTTTCTGGAATAGTACAAGCATTGTAGATTTGCATTATGCCTTTGATAATATGACCTCCAACTGTTCATAAAATTTGGATAGCCCTAACCATTGTTTTTTTATACCTCCCGCATGCTACTATCTTACCCTTTAGGGCGAATTTGGTTGAGGACTACTACTTCTAAATTGTTTATGTATTATACGACCAGGATGTGTGGTTTTGTTACTGCTTGTTATGGCACCATTACTTGACATTTAACTGTACATATTTGTACTTTCATTCTTTGTCTAAACTTCTTCAGTAAAAATCATTGCAAAAGAAAAAGTGTCCTGTTCTCTTTGTATTGCTTCCTTTGTGTGAAATCCCTGGTATTCTTGTCAGACCCTCTGCTTTCCTAACAAAAACAGACCACACTAGGCATGAGAGCAAAGCACAGTCAGTTCTCTAGCTGTGCTGGGAACTCAGCCTGCTCTCTTCCAATGATTAGACTTGTCCTGACACCCCCTCCCCTTTGGACAGCCATTCACTTGGAAATCCAGTGTCTGCCGTTTCTCCTCTCCCAGCTCTCTGTTCTCAGCTGCATAAGGAGCTTAAGGGGTATGTGGTCACTTATAACATTAGGAAAAAGGTTATTTAGAATGTTTTTTTTTATATTTATACACAATGTTTTGCCTTTCTTTTCTATTTTAAACTGAATGGATTGTTTTACAAGGAGAGGGTTTACATATACTTTAAGATCTACTATTTTTGTGCTTAATGAGCACTGACACTGTTTATATACAGTAGATGCTTTGCTTGTACTTCTTGCAGCATTTTTTATGGGTATTACATGATTATGAGTAGATACTCTGGATATTCCACACACAAAGGATATTCTAATGCTATACTAATTTTCTGGAAGTATTCCTGTTTTGTCTGGACATATTTTGGATTCTTTTGGATGCACTCAACCATTCTTTTAATTTTGTTAGTTTACAAGTGTAACCTGGACTGTAGTTGATAACTGCTGACACATCACAAAGCAATTTTTCATATCCTCTGGGTATAACTCTATACAAGTTAATACTTGAATGAGGTTCCTTTAAGTGCCATTTTCACCTTTCACAATATTTTTTAACATAAAGTTATTTAACACTGAGCCCGGGTGTTTTAAAGATACAATGATAGTCCTCCTCTACATCATTCAGATGTTCAGTGGCAAACTTCAGACGGGCCTGGACATGTTCTTTCTTGAGCAGAGGGACCTTGCGGGCACTGCAGGATTTCAGTCCTTGTCGGCGTAGTGTGTTACCAATTGTTTTCTTGGTGACTGTGGTCCCAGCTGCCTGGAGATCATTAAAAGATCCTCACATGTAGTTCTGGGATGATTCCTCACTGTTCTCTAATGATCATTGACACTCCATGAGGTGAGATCTTGCATGGTGCACCAGACCTGGGGAGACTGACAGTTGTTTTGTGTTTCTTCCATTTGCGAATGATTGCATCAACTGTTGTCACCAATTTTGTAGCCAGTCCAGCCTTGTGTAGGTCTACAATCTTATCCCTGACATCCTTGGACAGCTCTGTGGTATTTGCCATGGTGGAGAGTTTGGAATCTGATTGTTTGATTGTTCCTGTGGACAGGAGTCTTTTATACAGGTAACAAAATGAGATTGGCAGCACTCCCTTTAAGAGACTGCTTCTAGTCTCAGCTTGTTACCTGTATGAAAGACACCTGGTAGCCAGGAATCCTGCTGAATGATAGGGGATCAAATACTTATTTCCCTCATGAACATGCAAATCAGTGCATAAATTGTTAGACATGCATTTCTTTAGAATTTGTTGTTGCTATTCTGTCTCTCAGTGTTACAATACACCTACCATTCGATTTTTAGACTGATCATTTCTTTGTGAGTGGGCAAACATTCAAAATCAGCAGGGGATCAAATACTTATTTCCTTCACTGTATATTCATTCACAAATACTTTCCTAAACAGTCTTTTAGACTACAAAAATAGCAGTATCTGTGTTTTTGCTGTCACTTCAGTTATTTTCTTGCTATTTGGAGTCAGTTTCACCTGGCACTTTATAAAGGTCCTTGGTACATATACTTTTAGCAGCAGAACGTTTTGGAGGTGTTTCAATGAATTTATCATCGTAGTTCATGTGTCCTGTGAAATTGCCTCTGGTTCCACACTGAAAATTATTAGAAATTGTTCAAGCTCTTTTTAATGTGTTGTAGAAGTTTATGATATTCTTATTGAATCCTGTTGACCTTTTTTGAATTGTCACAGAACAAAGGAGACATTTTATAATAGGACACAGATGGTGAAAAAAAATCAATCGCTACTCCATCCAAAATGAAAAAAAAAAATATATACATACATACACACCGTGAATCTACGTATTTATATTGTCTTGCGTCTACAGCTCAGTATGGTAGTTAATGTCTCATGGTAACCATGGACCAGCATAGATCAATATCCTCAAGGAACATTTCCATAACGTTAGTTAGCATTAGGCAGTTTATGCTGTTAAGGATATAGGCAGTTCAAAACCAAAAGGGTTCTGTTTTTGTTGTTTTTTTTTTTACTTTTGTACAATTTGCCAACATAGCAAATAAAGGAAAATGTAGGTAGTTCCTAAGTATATGTCATTAAAAAAAATTAATACTATAAGATAGGAAACAGAGTTAATGTTTCCAGGAGGACCTATTGAAACATTTATTCATTCCTTCGTTAGTGATAAAAAATACATTTCTACAAAGTCAGGTGACAGAGGTAGGGGTGCTTTCTGAATGGAGCGGGCCTGTGTGCAAGATCACAAGCCAACCCCCCTTCCTCAAAAAAAAAGGAAACCCAGAGAAAAAAAAAACAAGTTGGTGCGAACAGTGTGCCACAGGGAATGGTGGATGTAGGACTTAAAATTTGAGCCTATGTACAGAGTGCAGGGGTCAAACATATGTAATGTAAAGAAAGCAGGTGTCAAGGGTATGTAACATATAAACTGCAGGGGTCAGGAATATGTAATATACAAAGTGCAATATGGGCAGCACAGTGGATAAGTAATTAGCGCTTCTGTTTGAATTCTGCTTGATCTGAATCCCAACCATTGCCTGTGGCTCTGCCAATATAGTGATCACCTTGAGGTTGCACAGTGCTACATAGTGGATGACAAAGCAGACCTGAGCAAATAAACAGCTGTATAATGTCTATTTTATGCACAGATGACTTGTCTTACACTGTCTGAAGGATAGAGTCCATATCGCTCAACTTTCTGAGACGGAAAAGAGGGACACCTTTGTATGTAGGCAAAGGATACACCCCCATACCATACCCCATTCACGCAGATCATAAAGACTGAATGCTCTGAAAATGATTGGGTAAACCCACAAGATCTATTTATCACTAAGGCTATACCCACATGGAAGAAGAATATATTTTGAAATATATTTTAAAAATATTCTTCCCAAATATATTGCCATATGTTTGAAAAACTACAATTTTGGCCATATTAAATATATATCAAAATATATTTCTGTATTATATATAATAATTATTTATTATATTACACAGGATTTATATAGCGACAACAGTTTGCTCAGCGCTTTACAATATAACGGGAGACAATACAGCAACAATACAGTTCAATACAAGAGGGATGTGAGGGCCCTGCTCCTTGGAGCTTACAATCTAGATATATATATATATATAAATATATATATATATACACTATATAGTATAGTAAAGGGCAGTGTCTGACAGGGCCAGGATACTCAACACTCACGGTATGTGTTTATACTTCAGGGGGGAGTGACAAAATCTTGTGGCGAAGAGGTACTCCCTGGAAAACTGCAGGTTGAAGGTGAACATTGCTACCTGAGTTGTTTTTCTAACACTTCCTGGGGAATCTTTTGGTGAAATAGCACAGAGTTAGGCTTCAAGCTCATAGTGGTTTTAAACCCTTACCTATACACAGTGAAGTGACTAGCCTTAGGTGATACAGAGAGATGAAACAAATGCTCCTATATAAGTTGTACCTGTTTATCTACTGCGATTGACCTGTACAGCCACATAAAACTCAGAGATGAAAAGGATTTTTCACAGACTCACAAAGCAGGGGGTGGGGAACTGCAGTTACACAATATGCAGGAACTCTGAGAGCTGATTGGAGGGAAGGGACACACCCCCTTCACACAGCACACAAGAACAGAGCTATGGCTGTCAATCACAGGCTGTGTGCTGGCGATCCCTCCCCTCTCACCTTTTTAGCTGTTGGTCTCAGGAAAACTTGTCAGCAGTTACTCATTCTGATAGCAGAGGAACTGGGCATCAGAGACAAATGACAATGCTTTGGAGAGAGGAAAGTAAACACTCTAGAAATGTGTGTTTTGTTCATATTTCATGTCTGAGGTGTACAACTGCTATACAGGGAAATTTTAAGAGCTCTTCACTGAGCAAAATGGAGGTAAACGTACTCCCAGGTACCCAATTGCTTATAGTTTTTTCTTTAACAACCTGTTCAGTATGGCAAACACGTCATGTTTCTGCAGGGTGACCAAGAACAAAACAGTTTTTGAAAGTTTTGGTTTTAAAGGAAAAAAAATTGTGGATATTGTATCATAAAACCCATGCTTTATTAAATAATTAGTTTTTTTTCTATTTTGTGACAGGATTCATTTTTATTAATAGTTCACTCCACTTGTTGCTTTTATCCAGTCTACATTTTTATAGACATTTGAATATACACCATATCTGTCACTATCTCCACAGCCAACTCCCCAGGACACTGTTCCTGCCAGATACCAGTTATTTTTGTGTTGACTGAAGGTGACCATTGGACCACCGGAGTCACCAGAGCAGGCATCCTTCCCTCCTGAAATAAAATTGAGACTGTTAGTTCAGTATATGCATTTACCTTGTAGCAAAACTGAAAAACACAGTGGTCTTTGGCTGATAAGGTTTAAAACAGTGTGCAAAAGTGTAGTAACACACAACAGTGAATTTCTTAAAATCTTAAAAAAAAAAAAAAAAAAAAAAAAAGATCTGATTTAACCACTTCAATACTGGGCACTTTTACCCCCTTCCTGCTCAGGTCAATTTTCAGGTTTCAGCGCTTTCACACTTTGAATGACAATTACACGGTCATGCAACACTGTACCCAAACTAAATTTTTTTACCATTTTGTTCACGCAACTAGAGCTTTCTTTTTGTGGTATTTAATCACCACTGGGGTTTATATTTTTTTGCTAAATTAGCAAAAAAAGACTGAATATTTTGAAAAAAAAAAGTCTTTGTCATAAAAATTTGCAAATAAATAATTGTTCTTCATAAATTTAGACCGAGACATATACGGCGACATTTCTTTGGAGAAAATAACCCAAATCAGTATTCATTATTTAGTCTGTAGGAAAGTTATAGAGTTCACAAACTATGGCATATATCTGAAAATTGATCATACCTGAAGTACTGACAGCCAATCTAATTTCTTGAGCCCCAAAAATGCAAAATAGACAGTACAATGTATGTCATAAGAGGCATGGTGAGTTTTTTGAAGTTGTAATTTTTTTGTTAATTTTTTTTTGAAAATTACTAAATTAAAAAAATTATTTTCACAATTTTTTTTTTACATACTGTCACCAGTGCAGTACAGCGTCATTATATCACTGGTGTGGCGATGATCAGGGACACTGACTGGTGACAGTACAAAAAAAAAAAAGGATCATTTTTTTTAATTTTTGAAAAAATTTGTAATTATTTTTTTATTACATTTTTTTCTCTTTTTTTAAAGATTTTTTTCATATTACACTATGACCAAAGTAGCATAATGTTAGCATAGTAACATTGTACTACTTTGGGGAAGTGATCAATATTTTTTTTTACACAATTTGATTGCTATAAGCAAGCATTTAACTGAATTAATTACATTAATTCAGGCTTTTTTATTGTGATTAGCTGTGATTGGCCACGGTTAATCACACGACACAGATGGGCTGTGATTGGCCCAGCCTGTTCATATGACTATTTACAGCTAGACACACTTGACAATGGATGGCACGAAAGGAAGCCATCCATTATTTACTACTGTCATGTGACCTGCTGTGATTGGTCACAGCAGGTCACATGTTACTGGCAACGGGGCCAGTTTGAAAAATTTTTTTCTTGTAACTGTGGTAGAAAATTTGACCCCATTAACGATTAGAAAATCAACAAAAGTTATTAAAATGAAACATGTTGCACAAATTTGTACTAGTGTATAGCCAACTTAAATAAAATTGGCTGCTAAAGCTGACTATACACTATTGGAATTTCATTTGAATTTTTTCAGTTTAAAGCTGAACTCCAGGAATTCAGCTACTTTGTAAATTGTGCTAGATTAGTAGGGGGTTATGTCCAATGAGGTGCATACCACCTCATGGACTTATCTTTTAAATGTACAATTACTATTTTTCTTATATGCCAGGAGCATAACTATAGCTATGCTTTCAGCACTCTGACCCTATTGTGCTCCCCTTCCCCTCCTCCTGTCCAAGTGAACTCATTCATAAAATTAATCCCCTCAGCCACTTCCTACTGTACCATTACCCCCTCCCTTCTAGATTGTAAGCTCGAAAGAGTAGAGCCCTCTTACCCCTCCTACGTTGTTTGTTATTGTTGTACTATGTATTGCCCCCCCCCCCCTATTGTACAGCGCTGAGCAAACCCTTTGGCGCTATATAAACTCGATATAATAATAATAATAATAAAATGGCTCCTGTAAATGAACAGTGGAGGGGATGGGAACACAGCATCTCTGATGTCAAAGTACTGGGAGTATTGTGAACTCTCAGAGCTCCATATAACTTTGGGATGTAAACTAAAGAGATGTGGCGTGCACTTCATTTGGCTTAACTCATGGTAAAACCCTTGGCAAAAAGTATGGAATCACCACTCTTGGAAAATGTTCATTCAATTATTTAATTGTGTAGAAAACAAATTATCACAGACAGGTCTCAAAACTATTTTCATTTAACATTCCAACCTTCTGGCTTTAAGAAACACTAGAAAAAATAAAAAAGGAAGAAAACTGCAGTCAATTGCAATTGTTTTTGCAGATCAAGCAAAGAAAAAAGCAAAGAAAAGCAAAGAAAAAAATATGGAATCACTCAATTCTGAGGAAAATATTATGGAATCACCATGCACTTTGAATTTCTAAAACAAGCATCTGCATCAGATTACATCTGTTAATTAGCCTGCAGTTACAAAAGAGAGCTTGCACACCTTGGTGAGCTGTTGCACCAAGCTGATTGACATGAATCATGGCTTCAACATGAGAGATGTCAGTTGAAACAAAGGAGAGGATTAAAAAAATTCTTCAAGAAGGTAAATCATCACGGAATGTTGCAAAAGATGTTGGTTGTTCCCAGTCACCTGTGTCTAAAATCTGGACCAAGTACAAATCAAATAAGAAGGTTGCAAAAGGGAAGCATATTGGTAGACCAAGGAAGACATCAAAGTGTCAAGATAGAAAACTTAAAGCAATATGCCTTGAAAACAGAAAATGCACAACAAAACAAATGAAGAACAAATGAGCAGAAACTAGAGTCAATGTCTGTGACTGAACTGTAAGACATCGCCTAAAGGAATTGGGATTTACATACAATAAAGCCAAACAAAAACCATCATTAACACCTAAAAAAAAAAAAAAACAAGGTTACAGTGGGCTAAAGAAAAGCAATCATGGCCTGTGGATGACTGGATGACAGTGATATTCAGTGATGAATCACAAAACTGCATTGGGCAAGGTGATGATGCTGGCATTTTTGTTTGGTGCCGTTCCAGTGAAATGTAAAAAGACAACTGCCTGAAGAGAACCTGCAAATTTCCACAATCATTGATGATATGGGGTTGCATGTCAGGTAAAGGTATGGGGAGATGACAGTCATTAAATCTTCAATAAATACACAAGTTTATATTGAGATTTTGGACACTTTTTTTATTCCTTCAATTGAAAGGATGTTTGGTGATGATGACATCATTTTTCAGGATGATAATGTGTCTTGCCATAAGGCAAAAGTCATGAAAATTTTCCTTCAAAAAGACATGGGGGTTTATTTACTAAACCTGGTTGACTCAGAATCTTGTCCACTTCTGTATAAAAACCAATCAGCTTCCAGGTTTTATTGCTGAAGCTTAACTGAACATGCTGAGGTTAGAAGCTGATTGGCTACCATGCACAGGTGCCCAAGATTCTGAGTCAACCAGGTTTAGTAAATAAACCCCATGATGTCAATGGCATGGCCTGAAAATAGTCTGGACGTCAATCCAATTGACAATCTATGGTGGAAATTAACCACTTGCCTACCAGGCACTTATACCCCCATATTTACCAGGCCAATTTTCAGCTTTCAGCGCTGCCGCACTTTGATTGACAATTGCGCAGTCATGCAACATTGTACCCATATGAAATTTTGATCATTTTTTTCTCACAAATAGAGCTTTCTTTTCGTGGTATTTAATTGCTGCTGGGCACTTTACTTTTTGCGCTATAAATAAAAAAATGCAAAAAATTTGAAAAAAAAAAAAAAAGTTTCTTTGTTTCTATATTACTTTTTCAAACAGGTATTTTTTCTTCTTCACTGATGTGCGTTGATGAGGCAGCACTGATGGGCACTGATAGGCAGCACTGATGGGCACTGATAGGCAGCACTAAAGGGCAATGATAGGCAGTACTAATGAGGTGGCACGGTTAGGCGGCACTGATAGACAGCACTAATGAGGTGTCACGGATAGGCGGCACTAATATGCAGCACTGATAGGCGGCAGTGATAGGTGACACTGATGATGGGTACTGATAGACGGCACTGACTGGCATCACTGCTGGGCACTGACTGGCAGCACTGACTGGCACAACCCCTGGGCACTGACTGGTGGCACTGACTGGCAGCACTGCTGGGCTGCACTGGTGGGTGGCACTGGTGGGCAGCACTGGTGGGTGGGCACAGGTGGGTGGCACTGGTGGGCACAGGTGGGTGGGCACAGGTGGGTGGCACTGCTGGGCACAGGTAGGTGGCACTTCTGGGCACAGGTGTGTGACACTGCAGAGTGGCACAGGTGGGTGCACTGCTGGGCACAGGTGGGTGCACTGCTGGGCACAGGTGGGTGATCTGCTGGGCACAGGTGGGTGGAGCTAGTGGGCGCACTGCTGGGCACAGGTGGGCGGAACTTGTGGGTGGCACTGCTGGGCACCGATCATCAGGGCACTGATCATCAGTGCCCTGATGATCGGTGCCGATCCCCGCTCTGACAACTGCCGGTTCTCGGCAGTACTTTCCTCACGATCTGACAGCGTGAGGAAAGTGCAGCCGAGAACCGGCACTTGCATTTCCCTCTGATCAGCGTGTCATTGGACACCGCTGATCACGTGGTAAAAGGCCGCTGTGATTGGCCTTTTACCACATCACGTGATCAGCTGTGTCCGTAGGACACAGCGATCACGGAGATCGCCGGCTGCGCGCCCCCTGGGGCGCGCAGGAGAGCGCGTTCTGGGAGGACGTCTTATGATGTCCACTCAGAACTGGCCGGCCGCAGTGCAGCCGTCATTCGGCTATCTGCGGTCGGCAACTAGTTAAGGGAAATGGTCCATGACAAGGCTCCAAGCTGCAAATCTGATCTGGCAACTGCAATAAGAGAAAGTCGGAGCTGGATTGATGAAGAATTCTGTTTGTCGATAGTCACATTCATGCCTCAGAGAATTCAAGCTGTTATAAAAGCCAGAGGTGGTGCAACAAAGTACTAGTGGTGTACTGTAGTGTTTTTTTCATGATTCCATAATATTTTCCTCAGAATTGAGTGATTCCATATTTTTTTTCCTCTGCTTGATCTGTAAAAACAGTTGCAACTGACTACAGTTTTCTTTCTTTTTTATCTTTTCTAGTGTTTCTTAAAGCCAGAAGGTTGGAATGTTGAATGAAAATAATTTAGAGACATGTCTGTGATTAGTTTTTTTTTCTACACAATTGAAAAATTGAATGAACATTTTCCAAGAGTGGTGAATCCATACTTTTTGCCAGGGGTTTTACCATGAGTTAAGCCAAATGAAGTGCACGCCACGTCTCTTTAGTTTACATCCCAAAGTTATATGAAGCTCCGAGAGCTAGCATATTGTACAAAATGGCTGAATTCCTGGAGTTCAGCTTTAAGAATGTTTTTTCGATTTCTAAATGTTCATGGGGAACAATTTGCTCATTAGTGGCAAGAAAATTAATAGGAGCAGGACAGAAAATTATTATTGAGTTAATGAATTTCTAACAATGTGATTTTTGTTCAGGAAATACATTCATTCTGAAATCAAATGTTAAAGGCATGCAAAATTTTAAAGTACTTTTGAACAACATTCATTCAGTCATTGAATGCACAAACAGTTTTAGTATGAATATCCAGACCAATAGTTTTAGGATAACTGCTGTGTGTTACTCACCTAAGGCTGGTCATAGACAGAGCAACTTTCTTTCCTGAAACCACGGGTTGACAGGAGAATCCCTCCCACCGAGCCATTGTGTTTTCCCAGCAGAGGGGGGGGAGGGGCGAGGAGCCACCCCAGCTGGGAGAACACAGTGATTAGCTATAACAGACACTAGCGATAATCGCGTGTAAAAATCTGGCAGGCTGGTTGTACCCTAGTTGATCAATTTATCAGCTTGGGTACATTCAGCTTGCCCATACATGGTTCGATTCTTGGCCGGTTCCTGCTTAACCAGCCGATATTCAAACCATCTATGGTTGGCTTTAGGCTTATGCTGGTTAAAATGCCAACAATCCTAAAGAAATGTAACCATTGAAATTTGTCTTTTCATTTTTAAATAATAAAATGTTGTTTTGAACACTTGAAAGCCTTTAAAATGATTTTGGATGGAGTGTAAACATGGGATTGTACAATACCCACAAACACCTACCCCAATTCCACCCACACCATAACTGTCTGATCAATCACGCTGGTAAAGAAAGCCATAGACATCAGAGCAGTCTGTGGCTAAGCTACTGAGGTTGGTAAGAAGCTGGTTAGGGGTGTTTATGTAGATTAGTTTAGAGGGGTTAGGGAAGGTGGATTAGAGTAGACTGTACTAAAGGCACAACTACTCTTTAAGTTGATTTCAATATTTTTGGGCTGTCTATGATCACAAACAATTTGTCATTTGAGCTAAAATTTTAACTTTTACCTTTTCAATCAACTCATCCCCTACAGTTCAACCTTTTTAATCACTTGGTCCTCTCTTTTAGAGTGTACATTTTCACAAGCAGAGCCCTCCTAACCCTTTTGTATTAAATTGTATTTTTAATATTAACTATATATATGAAGTCTATGTATATTCATTTTAAATGTACTGTCTCTCTTTACTTTGTAAGGTGCTGCACCAACTATCAAAGCAATATAAATCCTGAATAATAATATTAATAATAATCATAATTCACACATCAAAAAACGCACTTCACTTAAGAAATGACTGGCAGCAGTGGCAGGTGAGCAAGTGTTGAAAGCATGCAGCTGTGTATATATGTCCTGACCTCAACTCGATAGAACATCTTTGGGATGAATTAGAGAATAGACTACGAGCCAGGCCTTCTCATTCGACATCAGTGCCTGACCTCACAAATGCACTTCTGGAAGAATGATCAAACATTCCCATAGACACACCCCGAACCTTGTGGACAGCCTTCCCAGAAGAGTTGAAGCTGTTTTAACTGCAAAGGGTAGGCCAACTCAATATTGATTCCTATGGAGAAATGTGTGTGTAAAGGCTGGCGTCCCAATATTTTTGGCAATATAGTGTATGTGTAGGAAAAAGGGTGGGACTTTAATGCCCACATGTCGCATATATAAGTCACTAGGAAGCCAAAATTTCTGTGCTGAAAGCAAGCTTCCTGCTCACGCCGACACAGTCAAAGGCAGCTCTTGGCCTTCACTAACGATTGGTACCTGGTGGTACTGGCTCCTGATTATGTGAGCAATGTGACAACCAATTACAGTGGCTGCATGATTACAGGGGTTAAGTTGGAGCTTACACAGGGCTGCCTGTGTCCTAGCAACCATGTGACAACACTGGTCCAATCACCAAGCACTAGTACTGTTACTTAGAGTGAGTAACATGCTTGCAAACTCCAAACCTCCAAAGAATGGATTTGTATTTCATCAGTCCAGACTTTGGAGTGGTGGTTGGCTGCCTGTAAGCTCCTCTGAGCACATATTCATGCACATGCATGTAGACCAAGAATGATGGTAATTGAAACTAATCTTTATTGCATACTTACATTGGTCCAGCATGGACCCATGTAAGAACACATATGTCAACCTTGAGGGGTTGTTGGGGAAGCTGACAATCACTGCAGTAGTTGACTCTACTAGAGTGACAGCTTTGATCTTCCAGGTCCTGTGCCGATTGACTTCCCCTCTGAACACTGACCACAGTGGGTAGCTCACTTGGCACAGCTGCCATTCATAGACCCCCTTGTATTTTTTCAATGTAAGGTATTCTCTAATTGGACAAAGAAGAGATGGTAACATCACTGCCCCTTCCCTTCACCTTATCCAAACAGAGAACACCATGTATTCATTGAAGAAAATATTCAAGGCATTCTTGACATGGCTGCAGTGCTGAGCAAGTAACCACAGAAGATCACTGCTATCAGTGTAGTAGATTGTCGAAGTCCACAGCAGCCAATTCAATATAAGATATGAATACTTACAATAGTCGATGCTGAACCATGTGAGTATACAATAAATATTACACCTGGATTACGGCTTTAAAAAGTGGTATTGTTTAACACACAAATATAGGAAAACAAATGCTACTTAATAAATGATGTTGTTTCCTAATTGCATTATTAGTGTAACAGGGTTGTCAGTCATTGAATATAAATTTATCATATTTTTAGCACCAGCATTGACTGTACACGTTGTTAAAAATATAATAATTAGTTTTATCAGTAGAATGAGATGTTTTTTTCTCATTTGTTTTAATGACACATCACTAAGTTTTAATCATTTACAATAATTAGGAACAATTATCTCATGTTTAAAAATGCAGTAAACATAATAAAAAACACATTATTCTAAAAGTCCCACTTGTCTGCCTGTAAGGTGAGGAGACTTTCCAATTGACGTAGGCAATGACAACTATGGGGGTATGTGCTGGAAATTCTAAAAGGAAACATATTGCAATAAATACAGTAAGGTATAAAAGTAAAATAAGGGATGATTCCTACTTAGGCTGCTTTATAGAATGAAATAGAATAGAATAGAAAATAAAGGAATAGAAAAGAATAGAAAATAACAGAATAGAATAAAAACTAATGTAATAGAAACAAATAGAACAGAATAAAACCAACCAGAATAGAAAAGGATTCTCTTGAAGTAGAATATAAATGAATACAATAGAAAATAAAGAAATAGAAAAGAATAGAATAGAAAAAATAGAATAGAAAAAACTAGAATAGATTAGAATAAAAAAGAAAGAATATAGCCGTCTTCTAAAATTTGAATTTTGAACTTTGAATAGAATAGAAAAAAATATAGCCGTCTTCAGAAATTTGAATTTCAAATTATGTAATTTGAGTTTTGAATAGAATAAAATAGAAACCATATAGCAATCTTTCTAATTTAGAATAGAATAGAAAAGAATAAAAGAGAAAGAATAAAGCTGTCTTCCGAAGTGTAAATTTCGAAATTTGAATTTCCAATAGAATACAATAAAATAGAAAGAATATGGCTGTCTTCCGAAATTCGAAATTTCTAAATTTGCGTAGAATAGAATCAAATAGAAAGAATACAGTTGTCTTCTGAAATGGGAATTTCAAATGTTGAATAGAAACAAATTTCGAAAATGAATCATTCTAACATAACAAATATGATGAAATTAAATTATAACCGAACAAACCTGAAATAAAGCAAAACAAACTTTTCCATTGTGCACATAGTTTGTAGTTTATGTGCTCTTATATAAAGTCAAAGTAAAGTATCACCTCCAAAACAGACAAGGGTGAAGGGGTAAAAAGGGGATAATACATTGACAAAAGCTGGGATTTTCCTTCAACTTTGTGCAAGGTTTTTTCTCCCTTCTTGTTGTGTCTCCAGGATAGGATGTGGAAGGAAATCTCCCCACTAAGGACATAGACAAAAATAAAAGCCCAAAAGAGGTTCTAATTTTTTGCCTCTCTATCGCAAACTAGTAAGAACTCTGTCCAGGGTTCCACCATATAGAAATACATAAATACTTTCTTATATACTCAATCAAATTGCAAACCTTCTCTCAGTCCTGCGCAAAGCATATCGTCAGTTAGCACCCTTCCAATCTTTAAATACCCAGACTTGCACACTTCATGGTCTACAACAGGAATTTCTATCTAAAATAACAAAAAGACATTTAAGATGTACTACTGCTATACACAAATAGGTGGAAAAGAAAATGAAAGATTTTGTCCATTTAAAGCAATAAAATAATTAAAGATACTTTTAATATATCTGTGCTTATTTATTAATTTATCCGGTTTTTAAAATGAGATTTTGTGATTTAGTTTTCAGAACAACATTTCTGTGAGCAAAAACAAAATCACCTTTTGAACTTTAATAAAGGAAAAGAGGGACATGAGTCTAAAGCAGCAATGGGCAAACTACGGCCCGCGGGCCGTATACGGCCCGGCGGACCTTTTAATCCGGCCTGCGGAGCTAGGCTCCCGCTAGGCTCCTCTCACAGTCCGCCCTGAAGACCGGTGTAGCATGAAAATCTGTCTCCTATGAGGATCTGTCTCCCTCGACGTATCTGTGCATATGCCGGAGATCGCCGATCGGCTGCTAATGCCTGAAACTGGCACATGCGCAGATACGTCGAGGGGGACAGATCCTCATAGGAGACAGATTTTCATGCTACACCGGAACGGCGCGGGAACACGGCGAGAGGAACGCGCAGAGCAAAGGTAAGTGAATTGACACAGGGGGGACTTGGGGACTTAATATGGGGGATGAATTAATATGGGGAATGAATTACTATATGGGGGATGAATTACTATATGGGGGATGAATTACTATGGGGGATGAATTACTATATGGGGGATGAATTACTATATGGGGGATGAATTACTATGGGGGATGAATTACTATATGGGGGATGAATTACTATATGGGGGATGAATTACTATGGGGGATGAATTACTATATGGGGGATGAATTACTATATGGGGGATGAATTACTATATGGGGGATGAATTACTATGGGGGATGAATTACTATATGGGGGATGAATTACTATATGGGGGATGAATTACTATGGGGGATGAATTACTATATGGGGGATGAATTACTATGGGGGATGAATTACTATATGGGGGATGAATTACTATATGGGGGATTAATTACTATGGGGGAATATTACTATACTTACTATGGATGACACATACACATCATTCATCTACTCTTGGTCCGGCCCCCGGGTCCAATATATGAACCCATTGCGGCCCTCAAGTCAAAAAGTTTGCCCACCCCTGGTCTAAAGCATTAGGTAAATGGTATTGGCCTTTATTGTGAGGATTTTTTTTTCTTGTCTTTGTCTTTGCTAGAGATTTCCTCTCACTTCCTGTCCTGGTGACATTATTCTCACTGAGGCAGGAAGTAAAGGGAAATCTCCCTTTGGGGCCATAGACAGCAATAGAAACATTTCCCTTTTCTTTTAAAACCTAATATAAAAGCTTTGGCTGTAGTTACATTTTCTATTACATTTTAAAACTCTTTTAGCATATCCTTACATTTTTATACCTTAAAAAAAAACTTTAAAAAATGTTAAATTACCTCCATGAGTGCTTCTGGCAGTCTTTTTAAGAATTGTTTTCCCCATCCACTGATAACTACAAAATCCTCTAAAATATAGTATCATTTTGTTAGACAGTTCAAAATCACAATGCATTGAAAGACATTGACACATTGGAAAAGCTTCTTTTATCAAAGGCATCCAGCTGAACAGCATCATAAAGGTCATTTAGAATACAGAAATTGCTGCTTCACACATTGATACAGTAATTGTTCAGTGGTTCAAGTCAAGTTTAGATCAGGATCAGGACAAGTTTAGATCAGGTTCAGGTCAGGACAGGATTTTATCTTGTTCACAACTGATGACATGTTCAGTTTAGAAATGGTTCCCATAGAAGTCAATAGTCTGTAATCTGCACCTGAACCTGACCACACTGCTCAGAAATTGGACAGGACTCTTTTTCAACAGAATGATATAGAGGGGATAAGAAGAGTAGTAAAGAGAGAATAAGCAATGTGGTAGAGATGGGAAGAGCAGAGCAGTGGAGAGGTGATAAGCAGAGTAGTTCAAAGGGGATAAGCAGAGTGGTAGAGAGGTGATAAGCAAAGTAGTAGATAGGGGATAATAAGAGCAGTAAAGATGGGATAATCATAGTAGTAGAGAGGGGATAATCATAGTAGTAGGGAGGTGATAAGCAGAGTGATAGGGGAAAAGCTGAGTTTCAGAGGGGGGGTAAGTAGAGTAGTAGAAATGGGATTAGCAGGGTGGTAGAGAAGGGATAAGTGGAGAAGCAGAGAGGTGATAAGCAGAGTAGAAGAGAGGGGAAAAGAAGAGTAGCAGAGGGGATAAACAAAGTAGCAGAGAGGATATAAGCAGAGTAGTAGAGAGGAGATAAACAAAGTAGTAGAGAGGGGATAAGCAGAGTAGCGGAGAGGGTATAAGCAGAGTAGCGGAGAGGGGATAAGCAGAGTAGCAGAGAGGGGATAAGCAGAGTAGCGGAGAGGGTATAAGCAGAGTAGCGGAGAGGGGATAAGCAGAGTAGCAGAGAGGGGATAAGCAGAGTGGTAGAGAGGGGATAAGCAGAGTAGCAGAGAGGGAATAAGCAAAGTGGTAGAGAGGGGATAAGCAGAGTGGTAGAGAGGGGATAAGCACAGTAGTAGAGAGGGGATAAGCAGAGTGGTAGAGAGGGGATAAGCAGAGCAGTAGAGAGGGGATAAGCAGAGTAGTAGAGAGGGGATAAGCAGAGTGGTAGAGAGGGGATAAGCACAGTAGTAGAGAGGGGATAAGCAGAGTGGTAGAGAGGGGATAAGCAGAGTGGTAGAGAGGGGATAAGCAGAGTGGTAGAGAGGGGATAAGCACAGTAGTAGAGAGCGGATAAGCAGAGTAGTAGAGAAGGGATAAGCAGAGTGGTAGAGAGGGGATAAGCAGAGTAGTAGAGAGGGGATAAGCAGAGTAGTAGAGAGGGGATAAGTTAAGTAGTAGAGAGGGGATAAGCAGTAGGGGAGAGGGGAAAGCAAAGTAGTAGAGAGGGGATAAGCAGAGTGGTAGAGAGGGGATAAGCAAAGTAGTAGAGCAGGGATAAGCAGAGTGGTAGAGAGGGGATAAGCAGAGTAGTAGAGAGGGGATAAGCAGAGTAGTAGAGAGGGGATAAGCAGAGTAGTAGAGAAGGGATAAGCAGAGTGGTAGAGAGGGGATCAGCAGAGTAGTAGAGAGGGGGATAAGCAGAGTAGTAGAGAGGGGATACGCAGAGTGGTAGAGAGGGGATAAGCAGAGTAGTAGAGAGGGGATAAGCAGAGTAGTAGAGAGGGGATACGCAGAGTGGTAGAGAGGGGATAAGCAGAGTGGTAGAGAGGGGATAAGCAGAGTGGTAGAGAGGGGATAAGCAGAGTAGTAGAGAGGGGATACGCAGAGTGGTAGAGAGGGGATAAGCAGAGTAGTAGAGAGGGGATAAGCAGAGTAGTAGAGAGGGGATAAGCAGAGTGGTAGAGAGGGGATAAGCAAAGTAGTAGAGAGGGGATAAGCAAAGTAGTAGAGAGGGGATAAGCAGAGTGGTAGAGAGGGGATAAGCAAAGTAGTAGAGAGGGGATAAGCAGAGTAGTAGAGAGGGGATAAGCAGAGTAGTAGAGAGGGGATAAGCAGAGTGGTAGAGAGGGGATAAGCAAAGTAGTAGAGAGGGGATAAGCAGAGTAGTAGAGAGGGGATAAGCAGAGTGGTAGAGAGGGGATAAGCAAAGTAGTAGAGAAGAGATAAGCAGAGTGGTAGAGAGGGGATACGCAGAGTGGTAGAGAGGGGATAAGCAAAGTAGTAGAGAGGGGATAAACAGAGTAGTAGAGAGGGGATAAGCAGAGTAGAAGAGAGGGGATAAGCAGAGTGGTAGAGAGGGGATAAGCAGAGTAGAAGAGAGGGGATAAGCAGAGTGGTAGAGAGGGGATAAGCAAAGTAGTAGAGAGGGGATAAGCAGAGTAGTAGAGAGGGGATACGCAGAGTGGTAGAGAGGGGATGAGCAGAGTAGTAGAGAGGGGATACGCAGAGTGGTAGAGAGGGGATAAGCAGAGTGGTAGAGAGGGGATAAGCAGAGTAGTAGAGAGGGGATACGCAGAGTGGTAGAGAGGGGATGAGCAGAGTAGTAGAGAGGGGATACGCAGAATGGTAGAGAGGGGATGAGCAGAGTAGTAGAGAGGGGATAGTGGCAGAGAGGGAATAAGCAGAGTAGCATATGGGGAGATAAGCACAATACCAGAGACTGTTTAAGCAGAGTAGCAGGAAGGGGAAAGTGTATTTGTCTCTGAACCAGGCCTTGACAACTTTTGCTTTCCTCCCTTTCTTTAGAATTCTAAATATATATTTTACTGCAGATGGGACCGGTTCTTTTGGGATTTTCTAGAAACACCTTTACAACACCTATTTTAAAAAAAATAGCTTTCTGTTAAATGAAGATGTTTTGATTTAAACTAGGAAGATGAGTTATTGTGAAATCAGTCTCAATATTAAAAGTAATTATCTATATGTAAAAATAAATACCTGGGTGCACTTCTTCTTCTGGAATGCAAATAGGCATCACATAGTCATTGAGAAAAGCTTGTTCTGATAGCTCCACCAGGGCAATGTCATTTTGAAAGGTGCTGGCATTGTACATTGGGTGGAGAAATAAGTTTGTGGCCTGAAATACTTGCTCTGAGTCATCCTTTTTTGAGGTCTTATGTTTCCCTGTGAATAGAAAGAGCAGACTCAAATGTCACTAGGCTATTTTCTCCCCCGGTAGAATGTTATTCATTCAAAAAGAGGAAAGTGAATCAGGAAAATACCACATTATGGCCACTAAATGGAGTTGATGATGTTGACCATTCTCCAGGGGAAAAGTTGCTCTTGTTAGTATTTCTGTCCATCCCCTGTAAGTAAGATTTGCTTGACAGGGGAGGAGACCTGATTTTTCTCTATCGCAGTTTCACTTTCACTTACAGGTTATTCTTCCTACTTCTTGAGACTGGATAGTGAAAGGAGAAGCAGCAGACACATGAGTCATCTCTCTATCAATTTGCTCTATACTATTAGAATGTTCCTTGCATTATTTATGTTGCTTCTCTCTTCTTCTTTGAGGTCTGCTATACAGGGACTACAAGAAGTTAATACCAAATAAAAATACATTTAATAGATGGAATTGCTCTTCACGTTATTGTGTATGTCCATCTACATCATATATGTATACAGTATTTACATCCCTTAACAACATCCTGTTTCTTCAATAATGTACTGGCCGTACTGGCCATATTGACACTGCTACTCTATATGTATCCTGTTCTGCATTTCAATTTTTTTCTTGGTGCTTTTGTACAAGTAAAATAAACATATATTCAATCTAAAATAAATTTAATGATATAATCATTTTTACAGAGCTGCAATCATTTTAGTTATTTATGCATGCACTGAGTTCAGCTTTAAGATTAAGATTTCATGAGAGGAAGAATAATTTTTATATGACGATAACTGTGCTACCACAGCATCATCATCATTTTCATTATCACTATCATCATCATCAACAGTTTTATTTTTTGTGTTTGTATTTTAGTATGTTCCTTGCTGCTATATCATGTTTTGCTGCTAGTAGTATAGCTTTTAGACACTTTCAGTCTTCCAATGTTTTCCCATTGTCTCCATGCACCCTCACTGAGTTCAGATGTCCCTCTTGAGAATCAGAAGGTGTATCATTCCAGAATGCTTTTTCACTTGCAAGAACTGCTCAGAAAACATCCTCTGTAAGGCGCCTAGCAGCTATAAACTACATTGAATTTCAGTCTGACACTGCCTGTGGATCTTGTTGAGTCAGCAAGTTACCATACTGTGTGCACAGACTGGGTCTCATGAGGTATATTTTTTGCATAAAGCGATATTTAAATTTTCAGGGTTGCCACAGTGTATTTTAATACATATTAGAAGCTAGTGATAAAGATAGTTCAGTTTAATGTGTCTTTGTACAGCACTTACCTAGTGTGATGTTAAATGATGAAAGTGTGTTTAAAGTAAGGCTTGTCTCTTCTGGGGTTACTTCATGGTGCAGGCAGTGGGCAGCAGTAATAACCCATTTGTTACCTGCAAAATATAAAAATTTTAACACATATATATCATATCAAAGCATGACAAAGGTCAAGTCTAAGCACTGGTTCACACTGATGCAGTGCGGAATTCACAGCGTTTTCTGTGCGAATTCCGCACCGCATCAGAATCGCCCCCCTTTCATGCGAACCGCTGCGGGTGTGTATGTTATGTTAACAACACCCTTAAAGTGGTCCACAAAGCGTGGTGCGATGTGCAGAATTGGATCGCATAGGTGTGACTACCCATGCGATCCGATTCTAATGTGGGCCCAAAGAAGGGTCCTGCACGTTTTTGGTGCGGGTGCGGTGCGATTTGAGCCATACAAAATGTATGGTTCCAATCACACCGCACACAAATCGCATGTGATTTGCACAGGAATGCGGTGCGGATGAACATCTGGAGGTGTGGGCAATAATGTGGGTACAGATTCAAGGTGTATGGCTTGTAGTGTGGGGGTTAAATAAGCCTTAGCACTCTGTAGATCCATAATAATAAGTGATAAGAACTTATATTTATACATTATAGAAATGTATAGAAATTTAAAGTCAGCAGCTTCATATATTGCCTACACAGCCCATGGGGTCTAGTGAAGTATTTCTCATAGCCAATCTTTCCCTTGGGATCCCTGGTGCTGTTGTCTTGGATGTGAGAGTCGGCAATAACTGAGAAGCACCGTGAAACTGTTCCTGCAGCCTCCCGGCATGTGTGATGTGTTCCTCCTTTTCTTCAAGGATCTTGGCCCCCATGTGTGGTGGGTCAGAGTTTTTACTCCTAGGTGTTTCTGGTTCATAAACCAAGACCCTCCTTAACCACTTCCTGTCTGGCCCACGTACATAAACGGCCGGACGGGAGCAGTGCAGGAGAGGGTGGCCGTTTATAAATGTCCTCCCGCATTCCCTGCCTGTGTGCGCTTCCTGGGAACGCATAGCACCGCAATCTGGTGCCCGCTGTGTCCTCTGGACAAAGCGGAACACTGATCGCTGTACGGGACCTCTGTATGAGGTCCAGATCATGTGATCACTGATTGGCCAATCAGTGATCACATGAATAGTAGTAAGCAAGATGTCATTTCTGCCATCATTGCTTACTACTAGTGAAATCTGTGAATGATCACATAGGTCACATGGTACAAGGCTATTCACAACAGCCTTGTACTATGTGACAAGCTGTGACCAATCACAGCTCTCACAGTATTTCTCAATGGCTGCTAGAAGAAGGGCATGCATAGTTAGGAGGGATGCCTTGATGGTATCAAGAAACCAAATGCATGCACCACCCGATGAACATCTGGAGGTGTGGGCAATAATGTGGGTACAGATTCAAGGTGTATGGCTTGTAGTGTGGGGGTTAAATAAGCCTTAGCACTCTGTAGATCCATAATAATAAGTGATAAGAACTTATATTTATACATTATAGAAAATAATTCTTATCACCCCTGATGCCCATCCGGGGATATATATGCTATGCTCAATCAGTGTATTCTGTAAAATGTACAGACATATTCTGGTTGACATCTACTGCATATGCATTAGGTGTCCTGGGCAGGGGCGGACTGACAACTCATAGGGCCCCCGGGCAATAGGGGATCATGGGGCCCCTGTGTCCTTGCCCAAATTCAAAAAAGCCTATGAAAAAGGTACCAGGGGCATCTCATGGGGCCCCCCTACTGACCCCGGCCCTCGGGCAGTGCCCGAGTTTCCAAATGGTCAGTCCGCCCCTGGTCCTGGGACTTACCACCACCCAACTGACTTCTGCCATTGTTTGCTTTAAGTAGTGTTCCACATTACTGTTATCCCTGGAAATTGCTACATGATGAAAATGCAATGGGCTAAAAGGCTTGGAGGGACACATTTGATTGCAGTCTGTCACATGCTACAAACCCAAAATTTAAATTAGATATCATGCTCCCCTGCTTGTTTCCACTTGGGTGTCTCCTGTGGCTCACAATACAGATGAGTGTTTACTGGCACCAGGGGCGGACTGACCATTTGGAAACTCGGGGCCCGGGGTCAGTAGGGGGCCCCATGAGATGTCCCTGGTACCTTTTTAATAGGCTTTTTTGAGTTTGGGCAAGGACACAGGGGCCCCATGATCCCCTATTGCCCGGGGGCCCCATGAGTTGTCAGTCCGCCCCTGACTGGCACTCATGTATATGTGCCCAGTTCCAGTATCAGGGTGGCTTCTTCTCCACCTCCTCACCTCCTGCTTGTAAATCTGCCCAACCTGGGAAGGTGGACCACATAATATCCACAGACTAATGACTAATGGACACTGACATCTTGAAACCCAGACACGGCAGGGAGCTAACGCAAAGACCCCTCCCCCTCTCCTCCTCCTCCAGGCAGCTGATGATAGAACAGCAACAGTTCCAGGTAGATTATCATGTAGCACTTGAGCTGGGGACACAATTTTTAAAATGAAAATTAAATCTGAGACACTCTTTAGCCAGGGACAACCTCCTAAAATTGAGGGCTGTCCCCAAAAAAGCAAAAGATGCCTGGTCACTCTAACCTAAGGTTGGGCTTACCAATTAGAGAGCCACCACAAAAGGGATGGCGATTCCTGGAAAACATGGCTATCCAGGGAGAAATGCCTCTCTTGGCTGTATTTCCTCGAGCAATTCTTGCCAGCATTGACCTGGAAAATTGTGGCTCCCCACATACTACAAAAAAAAAAACCAACAGAATTAGCATAATTTTTCTTTTATCCATGGCACATGGTGCTATTTCCTCAATGTACATTTGTGCAAAAAAAAACCCCCATATTGTTAAACCCTAGCCTGCGTTTGTGCCCCCAATAGCCTATTGGGTGCATGAGAATTTAGAAAAATAGAAATGTTCCCAGTAACCTGAATGGGTGTGTGAATAACATCAATATTTATATAATCATGTATTTAATTACATATTTTCCAATAAACATACACACTTCGATGGTTGAGTGTGCTACTTGTTGGGGTTGATTTACTAAAGGCATAGAGACTGTGCACTTTGCAAGTGCAGTTGCTCCAGTGCTTAGCAAATGGAGGGAAACTTTTTTTTTTTTTTTTAACCTTCTTTATTTACTTTGTTGTACTTAGGTGACGATGTGTTTGCTAGCAGGGAAATCTGTACTGGCAGGTTGCGGCTTCCTTTCCCTCTTTTGGCTCAATTTGGACTCGCCAGGGGACAAGAGAGTGGATGCTTGTTTGTTGTGTTTTTTGAGTGAAGATACACCTGGTAGGGCACAGCCCTGGTGGGTTAACCCTATAAAACCCATATCCAGTAGGCGTAGTGATTAAGATGCATGATTAATATGTATAGATGACTTATGCACTGTTTTGTATTATTGTTAATTATCTTTGTTTATTGCTATATTTATCTTCTCCCAATGGCATGTATATGCAATTATCTGTAAATCTCCTGAAGAAGCCAAAAATTGGCGAAACATGTGGAGTGGGAATTGTTGCATTGTGAACTCTAAGACACATGGAGCACTTTCTTGGTTTTAAGCCTTTACAACTACCAATGTAATGTAGCTTTTTTATATGATAATATTGTAATAAAAGTTTTGTATGATTTTAGTACAACATCAAATGTTTAAGATTTCTTGAGCACCTTAACCTCCCTGGCGGTTTAACTAATCAATATTTTTGAATGTCAAAGTGGTACATTGTTTTTCATGGCACTGGACAAAGCACTAGGGACAACATTTAGGTGAAATGGTTTGATACAGTAATGTAATACTATCAGATTTTAGTGTATTGAGTGAATGTCATATTTTTACTATTTTGAATTTCCCACCGGTTCCGCCCCCGTACGTCCGATGTTCGCAGGGAAATGGAACCCGGAAGACGTGACGGCATTGGCCCGCGGATATGGCCGGGGGACACAGCGGGAGGACCTTTCGGGATCGTGGGACAAGGTAAGGCTTGAGGAATCGCTGCAGTGTAATCCCGAGTGTAGCTCGGGGTTACCACTTCTGGTACTGAAATGAACCCCAAGCTACACTCGGGATTACCGCCAGGAAGGTTAAAATCCCTTTTGTTTTTGTATATTGATGGTTACTCCAGAGCTTAATAAATAGAGGGATGCTCTCCTGACTTCTGGATTGATTTATTAAAGGCAAAGAGACTGTGCACTTTTCAAGTATAGTTGCTCCAGAGCTTAGTAAATGAGGGGAAGCTCTGCTGACATCCATCATCCGATCATGTGCATGCATGTTCCTTGCACATGATTGGGTATTCTTTCTAAAGTGAAGTTTTACCTCATTTACTAAGCTCTGAAGCAATTGCATTTTCAAAGTGCACCATCTATTTGTCTTTAGTAAAGCAACCCTATTGTTTCCTTATTTTGGATACTTATGGAGCAGAGTAGAAGTATGTGAAGAGATACCTGTAGAACCAGCCTATTTCACAGAAAATAATGGTGGGGAGATGTGTTTTGCATGTTCTCCCTGTGCCTGTGTGGGTTTCCTCCAAGGACTCCGCTTTTCTCCAACTCTCTAAAGACATGCTGGTAGGTTAAATGGCTCCTGTCTAGATTGGCCCTAGTATGTGTAAGTACGAATATGAGTTAGGGACCTTAGATTGTATGCTCCTTGAGGGCAGGTGTGATAATTGTGTGCACAGATATGGACAATGACAACCATAATTTGGATCATATTCTGCAAATGTCATTCTCACTCCAAATCAGTCCCCCTCCCCTTTTTTTTTGAATGGCATGTGGTGTGTGTGTATGCTGGGGTCACAAGGTCATTGGGCACAGCTGGATATGCTTCATGGTTGTAAACCCAATTAGCTGGTTCCATGATGTCTGACAGACCCTTGCCTTGGTTGGGTCGTAAAGCTATAAACCAGTCAGTCACTGGACATGCAAGCATTCCAGGGTGGCAGTAAAACATACATCCCACTTAAAACCACTTTTACATACAATTTCATAACGTCTACCAGAGAGCAGAAAGCATATGTCTTTAACCATCACAGCCAGATATGTCATATTTGATGTCTGGACATTCAGAATATGGTTCTACATATTAACCTGCCAGTGGCTAGGCTGCTGCATGCACCTATGGAAGGTTATTGAACATGGTATAAACGCGCAAGGGATTTGGTCATAGCCAGGGCCCCTGCCTAAACACCCCTCCCCAAATGAGGTGATTGGTTCTCTGTTTTAAGGAGACACCCTGCTGGGTTCCTAGAAAACAGGCTGTCATGCCTGGAGAGAGAGATAAAGAGATTCTCCCTTTTAACATCAGGAACAAACTTCGGGAGAAAAGGTACCCTTTTGTTCAGGACACTTGAACTCTGCTTAAACCAGGACTTCTGCAAGTATTCTACCTTCTTAAACTTCTTTCTTTATCTCTCTGTTGTGTTATTGCTCTCTCTATTTATATATATATATATATTGGTTACATCTTTTCTGTAAATATTTTTATTGCACCATTTTGACATTTTTAGTAATTAATCCTATCTTCTGAAAAGTGTTGAATTGTTTCTAAAGCTTTTTAATGCAAACTAAGAATCCCTGTCTCTGAAGAGTGCTACTGTGTGTTTTAAAACCTCTCTATACATCTGTCTGCGGTGACAGTGTGTATACAGACGCTTATTCAAACATCATAGTGTTACTGCTAAGATTTTTGAGTTTCCTCCTTCTCTGTAAAAAGGTGGTGGTGGCAGTGTGAAGGGTTCATTGCGTAATTAACCTGACCCAGTAACAATCGCTCTCAGGCTGTTGGCACCTAGATTGGGGTCCAGTGAGCTGGAAAATCTTTGTGCAGGGTGCAGCTGAGAGTGGCATTGTTACTCAAGTGGCAGCGCGGTTTTAGATTGGCTAGTCCTTCGGTCAAAAGTTGGTGAGAAGGACTGGGGTCTGACGCCGCTCCTGTCACAGCAGGGACTGATGTGAATGTACAATATATATATGTAAAACACTGCATAAATTAATGGCACTATATAAGTACCTGTAATAAAAAAAATAATAAATAAATAAATAAAATCACCTAAGATCAGTTGACTGAAGGTATCAAATACCCTTTTCTGTTGAATATCCAAAAAAGCAGAGGCATATTAATGTTTTTTTTTTAAATAAAATGCAAGTTTCTACAGTAATGGGGAGCAGGGTATGAAGCAGTTTGTCACAAACTGTATAAACATTATTACTCCACATTGGACACATTGCTGTTTAGACCCATAATTCTATGAATTTCAAAGTCACTGCCATTTTCGGACTCCATGAGAGATTTTTTCTTCACTTTTCTTCACTTTTTTGTTCCGCTGACAACTGTTTTGCAAGACCTCTAATACAAAACAATGTAACATACACTGGAATTATATATCGCTGCTATCTAAATGTGTGAAATCATAATAATCATAGAAATTATTTACATGCATGTGGCAATTGTCTTGGAATAACTGTAGATGTTGTTCCCAGCTTTTCCAGTAGATGTCAGTCAAGTAACACCAAAGTTTATATGATGCTTGAATTAAAAGCATGAGAATTTTTTCAAGCATGATTTAAGCATTTTGAAAAGTTGACATTTGTTATTTCATAAAATTGCAGACATGTACTAAAAACCACAGCAATCAAATACTTGATTTCTTTCTTTAATTTAAATTAGATACATCAAAGTTAGTAGGTGGCTTGTCACAGCCCGTTAGCCTTTATTCATTGTCAGCCTCTATGGAGATTGTTAGGTTAATCCTTGCATGCATGAAGCTTAGATTCTTATGCTGTTTTATTTAATACGGTATTCAAAGAGCAACTTAATTGAAATTTCTTTACTGACAATCATGGATTCAATGAAATCTTATTGCTATGGGTTTTTAGACTTTACACATCCTCATTGCTTTGTGTCTTACTTTATTACATTAGTGGGTAGTCTCTGTTCTAACCTCTTTTGCAATATTCACCATTTCTATCCACTAAAGTGGAGGTCTCCAAACTGCAGCCCACAGGCCGGATGTGGCCCTTTCTTTGCTTTTATCCGGCCCTTGGGACACCATTTCTCCCACTGACACCAACAATGAGGCACGCTTCCTTTCACTGACACCAAAGATGTGGTACTTTTCCTTCCACTATTCCTGATGATAACGCACTACTCTTCCACTCGCACCAAAGATGTGACGTTATTCTTCTCACTGACATCCATCAGTGGGGCGCTATTCTTTCCACTGATACCATTTTCTGCTCCCACTACACACAGTCCATCCCCTCTAAAGTCTAAAGGCTGGTATACTGGCCCTTTGTTTGGAAACCCCTTTTCTAAAGGTATAATCACATACAGTTTGCATGCCTATCAATGGAAAAGGGAGGTTTTCTGCTAATATTATTCTGTGACTTTCTAGGCAATCCAAATATTAAAAGCAGGTTATAGTTTGAGTAAACATAGCCTTCTATGAAATGAGATAATTTTATAGATGTTTATGAAGTGTATATACATACAGTATACTATGTATATACTGTAAATCCACATGTATAGTTTTTTTTTTCAATTTACACTACTCTCTAAAGTTAAAAGTAAGTTAAAACCCAAATTCTGTTAAAAAAAAGTCAGCACAAAGGACAGTCTCTTAGGTAAAATCTTTAGTCCTCTGACACCGCATCCCCCCCCCATACCCCGCAGTAGTAATCTTCTGGCGCTTCAGAGATTAATACAGACACTGGAACTATAAAATGCACTGGTCAAAAGTGCTGACTATGCCCGCCCTTTCCACCTCCTTCTTCATTCATAAAAGCCATACTTTACCTTCTATGAGTGAAA